CCCCAGCTTGTGGGAATGCCGAGACATAGCCAGAGGCTGCTGACTGCTGGGCATGGTGGCTGCCTTCTGACAGTGGCACCTCACGAGCCCTCAGTGGCTCCAGATGGTGGGGAAGCTGTGTGGTTCTGAAACCTGTGCAGACGTGGAGCTGTCATCCTGGATGGCCAGCCTGCAGCCCCTCGCTGTGACCTCCTCCACCTTCTGGGCCCCCGGAGCCAGACCCTGTTCTCTCCCCAGGGCAGGGTGGTTTCTGCCCGGGCTGTGACGAGGTCTGCCCTTTGCTGGGGCAGTGTTTTACCTCCAGGCGAGAGCCTGGCTTCTCCAGTGCTTTCAGCTTGGTCATGAGGCAGTTTTCCTGGCCATCTGGGGTCACTGAAATTCCGGACCCATCAGGCTCTCTGTGAGGGTCCTTTGAGCCAGTAGCTCACGTAGGCCCTGGTTGCCGTCAGACGTCACCAGCTCCTGTCCAGCTTGGTTCATCTAGGGCTGGGCTCCAGGGGTCCTGTTCTGCTGAACCAGCATTCGGGTTCAGACCCTTCTCAGCCAGAAACCTGTGTGTGTCTCAAATCGTTAAAGGTTCCTGAGCATTTAGTAGGCTCCGAGTCTAATGGCAGCTCTGTAGCCAGAAAGAGTCACAATTACCTTGAACAAAAAGGGTGTTCACTTTCTGGCAAAACGTCTGCGACCCCATGATCATGTTCAGCCAACAAGGAGCCACAGCCCTGTGCCATGCAGGAGCCTGGTGCCTGGTGCTCAGAGCTGGGGCGTGACCCCGCTGGCTCATGTAGGCAGTGGGTGGGCCTTGTGTGCAGCGGGGCTGAGGGCCTGGGCTTGGCTGGGCTCCTCTGCTGGGCTGAGCAGGGCGTCTCTCCGGGTTGTGTCTGCTCTTCCCCTCGGCACCCACAGACCCCTGTGACAGCAGTGGAGGCTCCCTGAGCCGGGGGACCCCTGCTGCTGTTCTCAGGCACAGCCGTGCTGGCCCGCTTTGGCCGCTGCGTTTGTCCATCCAGGGGATTTGGGCTTTTTCGAGCAACTGAGACTTGGAGGGAAGGCGTAGGGGCAGGGCAGGTGTGGGACCCTGCCGGGACATCAGAGTAGAAATCATCAGGGTTGCCTGGTGCGCGCAGGTGTCCCCGTGAGAGGAGCTGCCGTGCCGCAAGCCCTCGGGGGGCGCTCAGCCTCCCCAAGGTGCAGAAGGAGCTGCCACGCTCGACCCAGTATGCATGCTGGCGTTGGGACAGGCTCCTGGAGGGCTCCTCGCTGTGTGAAGATGTCCCAGCAGAGGGGAGGTGGCGGGATCCTAGCACCCCAGGTCAGAAGCTCCCCAAAGTGTGGTCCGGAACTCAGGGGGTCGGTGCCTAGATCGTGAGTGCGAGGCGCCCTGCAGTGAACAAAAGGATGGCCGTTTCTTGACTGTGCTGGGAGCGTCTGGTACCATAAAGGCCTGGAAGAGGGGTTTTGGTGTCTCATTCACCCTCCAGGTTGGAGCCTTCGCTGGCGAGTCATGCAGCCCCTGCACCCTTAGTCGGCCCCCTCCCCAGGGCTGGTGGCAGCCAGCGCAGCCCCCCATTGACGCGGGTTGTTCCCTAGGTATGTGCAGGAGGTTATGAGGCGGGGACGCGCCTGCGTCAGGCCAGCGTGCGCGCCCGTGCTGCGCGTGGTACCAGCCGTGTCGGACATGGAGCTCTCCGAGACAGAGTACGTGTGTCCCGAGGGTCCTCCCAGTTCTGCCCACCCCGGCCCGGGCGTCCTAGGCCAGGTCCAGTTGTGGAGCCGCCGTCCTGGGCCCCGAGATCAGGCACCACTCTTGGAAGCAGCCATGGAAGGAGAGGGTCCTCCTGGCAGCCTCAGACTGCAGGCTCCTGTAGAGCCTTCTCCCGTCTCCATCAAAGGAGACATGGACCAGCATGACAGCACGTGACCAACAGGCCGGCAGGAGGCCTAGGCACCACAGCCAGGCCTGTGGAGGAGCAGAGACCGTCCCCTGCCCAGTCCCTGCCAGGCCTGGCTTGAGCAGGGGTGGAGGTGCTGAGATGCGGCTGCTTGCAGCGTGGGTCTGGACCGCTGGGTGCGTCTGTCCAGCCCGTGCAGTCAGCGAGGCTGGGCTCTGCCCACACCTGGAACGCTGACCACTCCCAGCCCTAGTGAGAAAGGCTTGCCACGTTACCACGTGATTCCATGTGTACTGTCTGCTCAAGGCTGCAGGAGGAGGGGCACACCCCAAAGACGGGCCTGGAGATGAGGGGTCCCCGGGCTGTGCCAGGCTTCTCCCGGATGCTGGTCCCCTGCGGCTCTTGTCCTTCATGCACGCTGGGGTGGCCTTCACGGGTCCCTGGGGAAGCCCACATGTTGGCTTTTCTTTGATGGGCCTGGCTCCAGGGGGCTCTGAGGCTGTGGTACGGGGGCAAAGTCCAAGAATGCAGCTGGCTGGAGGCCTGGGCTACAACGTAGATGGTCACGTGGCTGAGGTGACCTCATGCCTTCCTGCCATGACGCTGGCTCTGGAAGCCTCTGATGCACCCAGCCAGGAGACGACCCAAGGGCTGAACTCCAGTGATCCAGGGGCAGCTTCTGGAGCCGTCTGAGGGACCTGGGGGTGGGGGTGGGGTGCGACAGCGAGCACCCCGTCATCCTGGCACGGCTGTGGCCACACACACCTGCAGGAGGAAGGCCCAGCCCGGCCTGGGCAGGAGACGGGGCAGCTTCGCCCCCTGGGAAGGGCCTGCTGGCTTCCACCCCTGGTCCTGCAGCGTCGGGCTGACCCGGAGGTCGTGTAGTTGTCCGGTCCTTGCCCTTTAGCGGCGTTTACAGTGTGAGGGGTGTAGGTCTTCCTGGGATGGGAGCCACGCACCCTGCCCTGCCCTCCTAGAGTGGGGAGCTACAGCGGCCCCTGGGCCAGGCCCCAGCCAGTGCAGGGCTGTGAGCTAGTCGGGGGGGCCTCTGCGGACGGTGAGTGGAGCTGGTCCTGCCCTAGACCACAGTTTCAGACGTTGGGGGTGGGCAGCTGGGCCTGGGGCCCCAGGTATTCCTGAGCCGCGTGCAGCTCATCCCCCTGGGCCTGCCTTGCCCTTGGCCAGCAGCCTGAGGCCAGCGGGAGGCACCCTGTGGGACCTCAGTCCAGGTCCAGGGACCATTGCTCCATCTCTTTCCCCAGGGCGAGGTCGCAGCGGAAGGCAGGTGGTGGGAGCGCCCAGGCATGTGACAGCATCGTCGTGGCCTACTACTTCTGCGGGGAGCCCATCCCCTACCGCACCCTGGTGAGGGGCCGCGCCGTCACCCTGGGCCAGTTCAAGGAGCTGCTGACCAAAAAGGGCAGCTACCGGTAAGTGTAAGGCCAGTGCCTCTCCCACAGGGTCTGGGGATGCCCAAGGTCAAGAGTTTCCTGCCGTTTTATCTCGTTATTCATCGCACCTGAGCCCAGTCTCCAGGCTCTGGGCCCCACAGGACTGAGCGGCTTTGAAGGGCCCTGTCCAGGGCCTTCATCTTGTGGGCGGGAAACAAGATGGTCTGCCCCTCAGGTCGGGCGCTGGAGCCTGCAGAAGCTGGGCGCCTCCTGCCAGGGTTCGCCCTGGGCCGCTCAGCCCTGCGGGGCCCTGCCTGAAGCCAACGCCGGAGCCTCCATTAGCCCTGGTGGGTGGGCAGAGGGGGTCTGACCCCCAGAGCCCGGCATAGCCCGGCAGGTGTTTCCCTCTGTCCATAAGCGACCCGAGGCGTGTGGCGGAGGATGTGATGCTGGGGGAGGGCCCTGTCCAGAGACACCGCCACAGTGCGCAGCTCTGGGGAAGGAGACACTTCTCCCTGCAGCTGCTTAGAGGCCCGTGCAGGCACTCCCAGGGGGGTGCCCTCGTCCCCCATACTTGCTGGTTGCACACTGTGTCTCTGGGAGTAGCTCACTCACACGGGGGGCACAGGGCATGGACAGGAGGCTCCCCGGCGGGGCCTATGCACACGCTGACCCTGCTGCTCACTCACTCCTCACCTCCGTCCTGCAGATACTACTTCAAGAAAGTGAGCGACGAGTTTGACTGTGGGGTGGTGTTTGAGGAGGTCCGAGAGGATGGGGCTGTCCTGCCCGTGTTCGAGGAGAAGATCATCGGCAAAGTGGAGAAGGTGGACTGACCGGCCGGCCACAGCGCCAGGCCGGGCCCTCGGCGGGCGTAGGTGCCACAGCCAGGGGGTGACCTGTACTCAGGAGCCCTGCGGGGACAGTGCGGGCCTGCGGCCCACCCCTGCTATCTGCCTGTTCCTGGGTGGGTGGGTGGGTAGGTGGGGTCCCTCCACCTGCTCTACAGGCTTCTGTCCTGCCCACAAGGAGGCAGCCCTGACCACTCCCCATAGCAATACTTGGAGGGGGCAGCTGAGGCCCCTGCCGCGGGCTTCAAGTGACCCCCGGCGCCTCCCCTGGGCACACATGTGCTGGGATCTACGTTCCCTCTGGGCTCTGCCTATGTACCCTGGTCTGGCTGGGCCCAGGCCCGGGCACAGGGACCTGTGTAGATTGTACGCGCCACCGAGTGCCTTCACCACAGCTTGTCTCTTGCCTGCCACTGTGCCAATCAGCGACGGCGCCGTGCCTGCCTCCCGCCGCCAGCTGTGCGGTCCTGGGGTCTCCTTTCTTGGGGCCCGTGTAAATATGTACATTTCTCAGGCCAGGGCCAGCAGGGGCTGCCAGAGCCTGTTTTTCATGCGATGACACTTGGACAATATCTTTTCAAAGGTACTTGGATAATAATGAAATAAAACTGTTTTTGAACCTGCTTTGGCTGTGGTTTATCTGCTGCTGGTGGGGCCTGGTGGCGTCTCCCAGTCTCAGCCCACCTGGTAAAAGAAGTCACCCTGGCGGGCAAGAGGGCCATCCTGGGGCACAGAGCCTGGCAGAGCTGGAATGGTCATGTGCTCCACCTTCCTGCCCGGGAGCCCCCAGCTGGGCGGAGTTGCACCATCCAGCCTTGCTCAGGGACCAGGCACACACAGTCCAGATCCAAGCTCTTTATTTACAGGGCACAGCTCCCTCCGGCACCCGAGGGGGCTTCCTTCCAGCAGTCGTGTGGGGCACACAGGACACTACAGCTCCTCCTTGGACCCCACAGTGGAGTTGGTGGGTGGCTCCTATAAAGGGGCACAGGTGCAGCTCGAAACTGCTCCCAGCCTGGCCCTGCCCTGCCAACCTTGTGTAGGTAGAGAGGATTTGTGCAGAGGGCTGGAGCCCTGGCTTAGGGACACCCACCAGGGATGGGGGTGCCAGCTCCTCCGGGGGCTCCTCCGTGGGCAGCTCACCCCCATTGTCCAGGAACTTGGACAAGGTCTCCAGGTCCCTGCTGCTTTTATATTCAGTCACCTGAGGAGGGGGAGGAGGGGTAGGAAGGGCAGGAGGCCATGCCAGGGCCCAGACCCACACGCAGAAAGATGGCTTCCCGGCTTCTTCCCCAGCCAGCTGAGCCCCATACCTTCCGACCCGGCCCTGCAGGGAAGTACATGAGGGTCGGGAAGCCGTGCACGGTGAACGTGTCCAGCTCGTTGGCTGTGGCATCCAGCTCCGCGATGATGACGTCCTCGTGGTCTTTGTACTTCTCGGCCAGCGCCTCCCAGGCAGGGGCCATCTCCTTGCAGTGGGTGCACCAGGGGGCATCTAGGATAGGGGCCCTTGAGAGCGGCCACCCGGGTACCCCCTGCCTGGCCCACACACTCCCTGCTTCCCACAGCACTCACAGAACTTGACAAACACATTCTTGGTTTCATCAAAAGCCACCTGCTCAAAATTCTTGCCCACGAGGGTCTTAACTGGCCGCTGGTCCCAGTCAGGGGGTACCTCCTGGCTCAGGAGATAGGGCTGGGGGAAACCAGGCCAGGCGCTTTGCCAGGGATCCTCCCCCAGGCTGGTGGGGGGATCCTCTGCAGGGTGAGGGAGGCCTCTGCCTGGGTGCCTGTCCGCAGGGTAGGCAGCGGAGGGGCGACCTCCGCAGGGTGGGGGGCGCTCACAGCTGCTGTTCCCATCCCCTACCGAGCTGGGGGGATGAGGTCGTGGCTCCCCTCCCACTGTGAGCAGTCTGCAGCGAACCTTTACTTGGCCGTTGAAGACCGCGTGGCAGAAGGCAGTGACAGAAGCGGCAGTGACAGGGTCCCCATCCACGGGTGCGTACTTTTTGGTGGTCTCAACGTTGACCAAGCGCAGGGTGGGGGCTGCCTCAGCCTTGACGCCGAAGTACTGCAGCACGTGCTCATTATCAGCCGCCACGTCCACCACCACGAACAGCACCTGTGGCAGGGAGGCCACGCTGGCACCCCGACTGTCCAGCCGCCCCTCCCCCCGGACCCCCAGTACCTGCCCCCGGAAGCGGGGAGCTGCCTCCCCAAAGCCTGCTAGGAGCTCCCTGTGCACAGCCAGTGACTGGTTGAGAAACAGCAGCAAGTGATTGAGGATCCTGGCAGCGAAGATCTTGGGGGACGTCTGCAGTAGGGAGGGTGCTCATGTCCACAGGAACCACAGCCCAGGCACCACCAGCTCCGGCTCTTCCATAGGAGGGTGCTGAGGACTCCCCGGGGCCCCCAACCCAGACACCACCATCCCTGGACTCCTCCACCCCGGGACGACTCCTCCACCCCGGGACACCCCCTCCCCGGGCACCGCAGCCCGCGCACCTGACTGTTGAACTCCGTGACCAGGCGCATGCTGTGTGTGACCAGGAAGCGTGACAGATCGCCCAGGTCCAGGCCAAGCTCCTCGTCCACTGGGAAGTCGGCCCGCCCCTCATCAAACTGGACAGCAGCAGGTGGCTCAGCGGGAGCCACAGCCGGACCCCAGCCCCCATCTGGGCCTGACCTACCTTCTTGAAGAGGACCACAGTGTCCTTGGTGAGGCCGAAGTGCTGGAACAGCTGTGGCTGGTCCGTGAGGCCAAAGGTCATGTCCAGGGCGTCCCGGGCCAGAGCCAAGAAGGTGCCCACATCCTCACCCTGCAGGTCCTGAGGGACCCAGTGCTGTGAGGCCACCCGGTCCCACAGTCGCTGCCCCGGTAGCCTGGCGCCCCATGCCCAGTGGCTCACCTGGAAGAAGCCGATGACCACCAGGTCCCGGGCATCGATCAGCGCCTGAGCACCCGCCTCGTCTTCCAGCCGCGTGGCGCTGGGCCCCACCCGCCGTCGCAGCCACTCCACGATGCGCTCAGCTTCCCGGGGTCCTGCAGGGAGTTCCCCTCAGCCAGGGCCCGGCCCTGCCCCCCAGCGACCCACCTGCCCCCGCACCTGTGTACTCCTCTGGGTGTGTGCGGTTCCCGTGCCGGAAGAACTTGAGCGTGGGATACTCCGTCACACCAAACTCCTCAGCCAGCTCCAGCTGCGCGGGCCCGTCCACCTTGGCCAACGTGACCGCCATCGACTCGGCTGCTAGCAGGGCAGCTGCCTTGCTGTACTCAGGGGCCAGGGCCTTGCAGTGCCCACACCATGGGGCATCTGGGGGACGGGTCTGTCAGTGCCCCAGGCCACCACAACCCCAGCAGCACCCTCTACATGCCAGACAACCCAGCAGGGAACAAGCGTACTCAGTTCTGCCCTGAGCCCTGGCCGTGGCCAAGCCAAGCGCCAGTGCCCCCTCGCAGCCCCCCAAGGCTATGGCACAGGGACCAGCAAGGCTTGGGAGAGCTGGAAAGACCCCTCCCTTTCTCCCTTTCCTGTCCCTTAAGATCGGGGCTCCTGGGCTCATGTGGCTGCCTGTGAAGGCATCCTAGGCGAGAACGGTTCCTATGTGTGTTAGAGGTTGTGAAGAGACCACAGAGCACACGCGTCAGGGACCTCCAGGCCTGAACATGGCTAGGGCCTGTGCGGAGTCTGTGGCAGGCCCCACTGGCAGAGCAGGGAGGTCCAGTTGCTCATGTCCTGTGGGTACCCCCACTGCTCCTGCCTGCCCCAGCCGGACCCCAGGCTCCTCCTAGAGAGCTCTGCAGCACAGTGGGTGGGGGTCAGTGCCTGAGGGGAGGCCTCCCTTGGCCACGTGCCCTGCATTTGCAGGCAAAGGGTGTGGGTTCCAGCGGGCCCTGCCGGTCCCCAGTCCCACTGGCCCCAGCACTCACAGAACTCCACCAGCAGGCCAGGGTGCTCCCGCAGGGCCAGGCCCAGGGTGTGGCGGCTCAGCACCAAGATCCCATCCTCCTTGGGGATCTCCTCCTCTGGAGGCTCCTCTGAGGGACTCTCGGGCCCCTGCTCCTGACCCCACGGGCTCCAGGCCCCAAGCAGCAGGAGCAGGCAGCAGCACAGGCAGGAGCTGGCGGCTCATGGTGCTGCCAGGGGCCACGGGGCAGGGGCAGATAAGGGGGCCAGGAGCCAAGCAGCAGCCGCCACGTAGCAGCCAGGCCCTGTCCCAACAGAGATAAGGCCTATGTGCCCCCCCACCCCCAACCCCAGGGAGGGGAGGCAGAAAGAGGCAACACGCAGGGCACCGAGGCAGGACCACGTTTAATGGGACAGTCGGGGACAGCGCCAGCCCAGGGGGTCCTGGGACAGAGCAGGGGTGGGCAGGGGAGGGTCTTGTCACTCACGGGGGTACTGGGGATGCTTGGGGGTCCCTGTGCAGCAACTGAACAAGATGGGGGAGACACGGACTGGGGGTTCAGTCCTTCCAGTCCTGGCAGACGCGGAGGCCCCACTCCCAGGACAGGTGGTGTGTCCTGTCGTCATCCGTGAAGAGGGACAGGACCAGGTAGGGGCCCCGCACCAGCGCGCCCCTCGGCGCTTCCTCCACCGGAGTCACAAACTCATACTCCTGGGCGCTCGGGCCATAGCTGCCCACCATGTAGACGGTCTTGTCCACTGGAGAGGGTGGGGGCATCAGGGCTGTCCTCTGCCCACCCCCACCGCCCCCTCTCCCCTCAATTCCCCCAGCCGCTGCCCTCACCACGCAGGCCCCGGCGGTAGGTGTGGTGCAGACACTTGAGGCCGCTGACGATCTCCCTGTGGACCTGGGAACAGAGGCACTGGGGTTCCTCCGGGGGCCAGGCCTCCGGCTGTTGCCCCCACCCGCTCCCCTCACAGCTCCCCTCACAGCCCCGGCCCTGCAGCCACTCTCACCTTGAAGGTGATCTTCACTCTGTAATCGACACCTTCTTTCAGGACAAACACCTGGTCTTTCAAGGCAGCCAGGTCCCCTATTCATGAAATGGCAGCTAGGGTCAAAACTTCTCTACAGGCCGACACCTGCTCCAGGAGCCCCCGCATGGGGAGTGGTGCCCATGAGGTCTGCAGTTGTGATGGCTCAGAGTACGGGACGTGGGGTGTGGGGCACAGGGGCACAGAAGCCTGCCCCGGAGGGCCCCACCTGCATTCAGGGTACAGCACCCTGCAAGTTACCTGTGAGGTCCATGACCACGGGCCCCGGAGCCTGCTCCGACAGGAGGGTCAGCCTGGTCACCTGCACATTGGGCAGGCTTGGGTCTGAAGAGAAACTGGTAGTCTGCAGGATGCCCCCCGGCCCCCTGCCGGCCCCCCGTACCCAGCCCTCCAAGCCCAGGCCCCTGCCGTACCCACAGCCGGCGGCAGGGGCCCCAGCAGCGCCCGCTTATACTCGGCCAGGCTCCTGTCTTCCGGGTCCAGGCGCTGTATCTCCAAGAGGCTCTTCCTCCCCGGTGCCCGATACTCAGGCAGAGCCTCATCCAGCACCTCGTCCACTGCCGGCGGCCCACCCTCCTTGTCAGCCAGGAGGACTGGGGGTGGGGAGGGGCATGAGCAGCTGCTACTAGCAGACCCTGGCATTCCAGCGCCAAGCTGGAGCCCCCTCGGGCCAGCTGTACCTCCCCCTACCCAAACAGACTTAAGGGGAAGCCTCTCAGGGCTCAGGGAGAGAGCGGGTGGAGAGGGCAGGGGCGGCCTGGGGATGTGCAGCACCACACCCAGACCTTCAGGAGGGGCTCCCCCAGAGACCACCAGGCCTGCAGCTCCTCTGGTCTGGATGGCCACAAGTCCCCTTCCCTGACTGAGACCAAAGGTGCGGGAAGTAAAGGCTCCAAATGAGGGCAGCTCGGAGGGCTACCTGCTGGAGAGCAGCAGCCCTCAGCGGCCTCCCACCCCTAGCAGTCCTCCAGGTCTCTACCATCCTGCTCTGGGGCGGGGTCTCTCAGTACTTTCCCACAGTCCTAGGAGTTGCTCCCCACGGTGCTTGGGGGCTGGGAGCCACTCTCTCCAAACCCCTGGGCTCAGGCTCTGCACCGCCTCCCGTAGTGCCCCGGGGCTGGGGGGTCTCCCGAAACCCCCTCCCTGGCGCCCTGGGCAGGGGTCTCCGAGTCTCTGCCCACTTTATTCCAGTCTTCTTAGGCATCGCCACACGCCCTGCGGAGCCGGAGCCCCAGCCCCACCCAGGGAAGAGGGTCCCAGCGCCACTGCTTCACCAGCCACCGGTCCGCACCTGGCTCCCTTCCCCACAGGGGTGGAGCCTGGAGCGAGTCCCCCACCCCTGCCAGACCCCGGTCGGGGGTCTGCGACGCGAGATCCCCACGCGCGCCCCCAAAGTTGCCGCGGGGGAGGGGCTGCTCCCCGCCTGGGGCCGAGCCCCCCGAGTCCCCCCCGCCCACCCGGCCGCCGGCCCCTGCCCGACCGGCTCACCTCGGGCGCACAGCGCCAGCCGGAGCAGCTCCAGCAGCTGCGCCCCCAGCTCGCACGCGTCCAGGCCCAGCATGGTGGCGCGCGGCCCGGGCAGCCGCGGAGCAGCCGAGGAGCCGCCGCCCGCCCCGCCGCCGCCGCCGCCGCCGCCGCCGCCGCCGCCGCCCCGCTCGGCGCTCAGCCCCGGCGCGACTGCGGTGAGCTCATCCCGGCCGGGAGCGCCCCCCGCGCCCAGCGCCGCGCCCGCGCCGCGCGCCCCCAGCCGCTCCGCGGACCCCGCGCAGCCCCGCAGAGACACGCTTGTCGCCCGCACGGCGCCGGTACCCGGGTCGCCCCCGCCGCCGGCGCACCAGAACCCCGCACGGAAGCGGCCGCGGTCACGATCCCCGCCGCACGCACGGCCCGGGCCGGGCTCTGGTCCGCAGGGCTGCCCCACCCCCACGGCGCAGTAGGAGCCTGGGGAGGTCTCCTGGGAAACCCTCTGAGCGGGCGCGGCACGGCGGGGCTGGGGGCGCCGTGGCGCAGGTGCGCTCCCCTCCCCAGGGTCTTATTATGCGCGACCCACACCTGGGGCCAGACTGTACTCTCCTCCCCCTCCCCCGCGCGGGAGGGACCTTCTGAGCAGAAAGGGGCTCCTGGGGCCTGCCCAACCTTGGGGTGAGGGGCTGGCCCACCACCCTACAGGTTCACGGTCATCAGTAGGGTGGGACGACAGTGGGCACGGGTCCCACACACGCGGAGGTGCGTCTGGAGCCACAGAGGCGTACAAGGAGCCCTCAAAGACTTAGATACTTAGCTGGGCTGTGTGAGTTCCCAGGAGGGGGTGTCCCTGCAGGGCTCTTGGAGAGCAGACAATTACCAAGACCCCTGTCCTTGGGGAGAGAACACTGACAAGGAGCAGAACCCCAAGATGTGGGAGCATAGAGACCCGTGCACAGAAGGAGCTTCTGATCTTGACACCTAAACTGAGACCTGTGGAGGATGGAGCGGGACCAGGCAGGGGACGGGGTGAGCAGGCTCTAGCTGGGACAGCTAGACCAAAGGCCTGGGTATGAATACGAAAGGAGTCAGAACACCAGCCTGAGCCCCTTTCTTAGACACCCCTGGCCCCCCATTCCTGTTTCCAGGATACCCTGAAATTGGACCCACCTTGCCAAGGAGTTCCTCAATTTGAGCAGAAGACCACCTTGCGTGTGAGGGGGCACTGGGGTTTGGGTGGGGGCTGTCTCCCTTGGTCCCCCACCTGCCAACACTCTTTCCAAGGCAGGATCCTGTGAAGTTGAGCCCTGTACAGCACCCCCACTGCTGCCCCTTCACTGCAGGGAGTGGGGGCTGTTTGGACACTTGTCTTCAGACCAACGGTTCCAGCTCCTGCAGCTACTACCGGAGAGAAGGCCTTGAAGGTGAGTTGTCCACGTTCTTGGTGAGTTAAACCAAGAATTGAAGAAAACACACACGAAGCAACAAAAGAACGAAACATGGAGTAAGGACAGCAGAGATTTACAGAAGACACTTCACCTAGTGAGAATGGGCTCCAGCACGTAGTTCTAGAGCCTTCTCGATTAGGATTTTTATCAAGCCAGAGGAAGCAGCTGAAGCCCCGTGGCCTTTAAAGGCCTCCAATAGGCTACACCCGATTAAGGATTGGCCCGAGACCAATCAGAGGCTGAAGTGGAAACTCCTGTATTGGGATCCTGGGAGCGAGGCTGGGGCTGCGTGCTGCCCAACCCTGCTCAAAACTGGCTGCACCTGCTGCTCCCCTGCAGACCCAAGCCTTGGCTACCCTCAGTCCCTATTCCCCGGCCTCACAGCCACCATGGATGCCCACACCTGCAGACAGGGCAGCCAGACCTAAGCCAGCCTCATCCCACCTGTGCGAGGGGCGTGGTGGGCTCACTGGGATCCAAGGGAGATGGTACCCTCGGGTAAGAGACCCTGCAGGCGCCCTGCCCCAGCTCATGCCAGACCTGGCCTCTCCAGAAATGGAAGTGGACTCAGGCCACCACGTTAGGGGCTCCTACTCAAGGACAACCGCCCACCCTTCCCAGCCCCAAGCATTCCCTGAGTGGGGACGGATGGAGAGAGGTACTCTGCCTTCAAGAAAACAGAAATAGGCCAGGTGTAGTGGTACACACCTGTAGTCCCAGCTACTCAGGAGGCTGGGGTACAAGAATCACTGGAACCCAGGAGTTAAGAGGCTGCAGTGAGCTATGATCACACCACTGCACTCCAGCCTGGGTGAGAGAATGAGACCCCCATCTTTGAAAAAAATAAATACACAACCAGGCGCCATGGCTCATGCCTGTAATCCCAACACTTTGGGAGGCTGAGGCAAGAGGATCACTTGAGGCCAGGAGTTCAACAGCCTAGGCAACATAGCAAGAAGCTGTCACCCTTGAGGGCAGGGATGCGCAAGGGGCCGAATGTATATTTATCTCCAAAATAAATAAAATTAAAAAAAAATTAGTGGCCAGGCATCGTGGCTCACCCCTGTAATCCCAGCATTTTGGGAGGCCGAGGTAGGTAGATCACTTGAGGTTACAAGTTCGAGACCAGCCTGACCAACATGGTGAAACTTCGTCTCTACTAAAAATACAAAAGAATAATTCAAGGACATGCAAAAAAATAATACTAAAAAAACGAGATCCAGACCATCCTGGTTAACATGGTGAAACCCTGTCTCTACTTAAAGATACAAAAATTAGCTGGGCATGGTGGCGCACGCCTGTAGTCCCAGCTACTAGGGAGGCTGAGGCAGGAGAATTGCTTGAGCCCAGGAGATGGAGGTTGCGGTGAGCCGAGATCGCACACTATTGCACTCCAGCCTGGGTAACAAGAGCGAAACTCGGTCTCAAAAAAAAAAAAAAAAAATACAAAATACAAAAAAAAAATTAGGCCGGGCACGGTGGCTCAAGCCTGTAATCCCAGCACTTTGGGAGGCCGAGGCGGGTGGATCACGAGGTCAAGCGATCGAGACCATACTGGTCAACATGGTGAAACCCCGTCTCTACCAAAAATACAAAAAAATTAGCTGGGCATGGTGGCTCGTGCCTGTAATCCCAGCTACTCAGGAGGCTGAGGCAGGAGAATTGCCTGAACCCAGGAGGCGGAGGTTGCGGTGAGCCGAGATCGCGCCATTGCACTCCAGCCTGGGTAACAAAAGCAAAACTCCGTCTCAAAAAAAAAAAAAAAAAAAAAAAAAAAATTAGCTGGACATAGTGCTACACACCTGTAATCCCAGCTACTTAGGAGGCTGAGGCACGAGAATCATGTGAACCCAGGAGGCAGAGATTGCAGTGAGCCGAGACTGTGCCCTGCACTCCAGCCTGGGCAACAAATGAGACTGTGTCTCAAACCAAAACAACAAACACAAACTAGCTAGGCATGGCAGCACCTGTGTAGTCCCAGCTACTCAGGAGCCTGAGGTAGGAGGATTGCTGGAGCCCGGTGAGCTATAATCGTGCCACTGCACTCCAGCTGGGTGACAGAGGTCGTGTCTCAAAAATAAAAAAAAAAATAGGGGCCAGCACAGTGGCTCACACCTGTAATCCATTTTGGGAGGCCAAGGCAGGTGGTTCACCTGAGGTCAAGAGTTCAAGACCAACCTGACCAAAATGGTGAAACCCCAAATCTACTAAAAATACAAAAATTAGCCGGGCGCGGTGGCTCAAGCCTGTAATCCCAACACTTTGGGAGGCCGAGGTGGGTGGATCACAAGGTCGAGAGATCGAGACCATCCTGGTCAACATGGTGAAACCCCGTCTCTACTAAAAATACAAAAAATTAGCTGGGCATGGTGGCTCGTGCCTGTAATCCCAGCTACTCAGGAGGCTGAGGCAGGAGAATTGCCTGAACCCAGGAGGCGGAGGTTGCGGTGAGCCGAGATCGCGCCATTGCACTCCAGCCTGGGTAACAAGAGCGTAACTCCGTCTCCAAAAAAAAAAAAAAAAAATACAAAAATTAGTTGGGTGTCGTGGCACTTGCTGTAATCCTAGCTACTCAGGAGGCTGAGGCAGGAGAATTGCTTGAACCCCTGAGGCAGAGGTTGCAGTGAGTCAAGATCGATCCTCCCTGATGGGCCCCTATCTCTCTTGTTGCCCGGGCAACAAGAGCAAAACTCCATCTCAAAAAAAAAAAAAAAAAAAAAAAAAAAAGATCCAACTTACTTGGCGTCGGGAGTTTGAGACCAGTCTGGCCAACGTGGTGAAACCCCATTTCTTCTAAACATGCCAAAATTGGCCGGGTGTGGAGGTTCACACCTGTAATCCTAGCACTTTGGGAGGCTGAGGCGGGCAGAACACCTGAGGTCAGGAGTTCGAGACCAGCCTGGCCAACATGGTGAAACCCTATCTCTACTAAAAATACAAAAATTTTGGGAGGCCGAGGGGGGTGGATCACGAGGTCAAGAGATCGAGACCAACCTGGTCAACATAGTGAAACCCCGTCTCTACTAAAAATACAAAAAATTAGCTGGGCATGGTGGCACGTGCCTGTAATCCCAGCTACTCAGGAGGCTGAGGCAGGAGAACTGCTGGAACCTGGGAGGAGGAGGCTGCAGTGAGCCAAAACCATGCCACTGCACTCCAGCTTGGGCGACACAGTGAGACTGTCTCAAAAGAAAAAAAAAAAGTCCAGGCCCGGTGGCTCATGCTGATAATCCCAGCACTTTGGGAGGCGGAGGCAGGTGGATCACGAGGTCAAGAAATCAAGACCATCTTGGCTAACATGGTGAAACCCTGTCTCTACTAAAAATACAAAAATTAGGTTGGTGTGGTGGCGCACACCTGTATTCCCAGCTACTTGGGAGGCTGAGGCAGGAGAACTGCTTGAATCCAGGAGGTGGAGGCTGCAGTGAGCCAAGATTGTGGGCGGGCCCTGAAGGGCCTTCGGGGCTGGCTCAGAGTCCACCTCTGGGCTAGACATAGCAAAGCTGTTGGAGGGAGGAGCGTGCTGGGCATGGAGGGGCCTGAAGCCAGGCAGCTGGTGGTGAAACCAGGGTGGGAGCCTGTGTGTTGAGATCCTCTCTGCAGTAAGTTCCTCTTCAACAGTCCCAGGGCACTCTGGGCAGAGTGCCCATTTCCCGAGTGGGCACACCCAGGCGCCTGTGAAACTGAGGGAAGTGAGCCATGGGCCGTCAGCCTCTCTCCTGGAAGGACCCCCGATAAGGGACCCACAGCAGGAGATGGGGACTGCTGGGTCACACAGGTTCTGGGTTGCTGAGGCCCTGGCCTCGAATCACACTGTACAGTAGCCGCGTGCCCCGCTGACACCCGGCACCAAGCCCCAGTAGAGACGCAGACACAGCTGATGTGGGGACCCAAGCCAGCCCCTGTCACGGCAGCCTGCAAAGCCCTGGCCACGGGCATCGCGGTACACCAGCCTCGGGCAGTCTGTCCCCACAGCCAGGGCGCTGGTCCCTGCCCATCCTCAGGGCCTCACACATCGGGCAGGGGTTACAGCGGACCCTAAACCACGGTTCCCACCGCAGTTCACTCTCCTGTACTCACAGAACCCCGGGCCCCCTGCATGAGACCTCCCAACGGTAACCCCCCTCCCTGACGAGCCCCTATCTCTCTCCAAGAGACCATCCCCTGCTCCAGCAGCCAAGCCCCGTGGCCTCACACGCCCCGTCTGTCCCGGCCCCGCCCCCCACCCCCGCTCCCGCCCGCGAGAGCCTCACCGACCCGGGACGTGGCGGGGGTGACTCGGGGCGCTAGTGGGGCGTCGGCTCATTTGCCTCTGGGCCGTGGCCGGGACCCTTAGACCCGAAGTGGGGCTTCGGCGACTCGGGACTCGCGGCCGGAGGGTTAACCTGGGCACGGCGCGGAGGGGGGCGGGGCGCGCCCGGACATCCCTGCTGGCCTCGCCCCGCAGCCATGGCCGCCGGCGCCGCGCGGCCCCCCGGCCGTCCCCGGGCGCAGATGCCGCATCTAAGGAAGGTGCGAGGCGGATAGGGGTCCCGCCGCCCCCCCGATTTCCCGGCGCCTGAGGCCGGGAGGGGTCGAAGAGCAAGGACCACGGGGGCGCGCGGGGCAGGGCGGGGCAGGGGCGGCGGCTCCGCGAGGCCGGGCGGGGCCGCGAGGCCTGAGGGCCCCTGGGGGTCTCCCGGGGTCTCCCCGGCCCTCCCCGACCCCCAACCCCCGCGTCCCCGTCGCCAGCTGCGGCCTGGAATCCGCCACCACCGCAACCGCGCGTTAATCTCCGCGCTCCGGGATCCGGGTCATCCCGGCCTGAGCCAAGCTGGGTACGCGGGGTTGCGGGGGCGGCAGGAGCGGCCTCTTAACGGCTCCCTCCGCCCAGATGGAGCGGGTGGTCGTGAGCATGCAGGACCCCGACCATGGCGTGAAGATGCGGAGCCAGCGCCTGCTGGTCACCGTGATTCCCCACGCGGTGACAGGTGAGGCCGCCGGGGCGGGGGGTGCGTGCGCGCCCGGCATCCCTCCACCTCCGTGTCTCCTGTGCAGGTCGCGACGTCGTGCAGTGGTTGGCCCAGAAGTTCTGCGTCTCGGAGGAGGGTGAGCGCCCTGCCGGCCCCCGCGCCCTAGGGTCACCGGGCTGGTGGTCTAGGGCTGGGCTTCCCCGGGGGCTGGCAGTTCTCAGAGCCCTGCAGAGCGCGCCGGGGCGGGGAGCGCACGCGGTGGGGGAGGCCCGGCTCGTCCCGCCCTCGCCCGCCCCAGCCAGGCGCTCACCGTCCCACGCCTCCCCAGAGGCCCTACACCTGGGCGTCGTCCTGGTGCTGCACGGCTACATCTACCCGCTGCGCGACCCCCGCAGCCTGGTGCTCCGGCCGGATGAGACGCCCTACAGATTCCAGGTCAGGCTCGGGGGCGCAGGTGGGAGCCGGTGGAACCCCCACCCCAACCCCCACCCCCAGCTTACCAACTAGGGGAGCCTCGGGAGGGGCGCCGAGCTTGCTGGGATTGGAGTGGGACTCCGCCTTGCCACCGTGGGCTGCTGGTCCACCGCCCCCTGCCCAAAAGTCCGGGACGGAAACACTCATGTGGTGAGAAGGGCCCGCTGACAGATGGAGCCTCAGTTCTCCTGGGGCCACATCAAGGGGTCGTATCTGCGGAGGATTCTGCTGTCTTCCTAGGGGTCCTTGGACCCGGTCCCTGAGGGAGGGCTACAGAGGCCTGAGGACAGCATTCCTGCCCCCCCTAACCACATCAGAATCCCAGGCCTGCCTTCCGGAGGTTGTACTCCTCCCCCAGAACAGACTGCAGCTACATTCAAGAGTTGTGCAGGTCCCACCCCCACCCCACCCTGAAGTGGGGCTTAGGGTGACCAGGGAGGAAGGCAGTCCCTGAACAGGGCCCCAAGGCACAAGTTGACCTCAGTTCCGGGGGAGAGATTGGCCAGTGGTCAGTGGAGTCTCCAGGTGGTGGGCAGGCCGGGAGACACTCAGACACCCCCTGCCGGGGCCAAGCTCCTTCCCAGGGAGCTGTGAGGGTGGGGTGGCACTGGGAGGCACCGACACAGGCTTGCTGGACACCTTCTCCCTGCACCACGCCAGACCCCGTACTTCTGGACAAGTACTCTGTGGCCGGCTGCGGAGCTCGACTATGGTGAGTGAGGGGACGGCTGGCCCCAGACAAGCTCCCAGGATTGGGGGCCTCAGGTGCCGCAGGGCAGGGCAGAGCTGGCCCCTCTGCAGCCTGCCCCTATCCTTGCAGCCATCTATCTGGCCAAGAAGAACATCCAAAAGCAGGGGGCCCTGGTGGACTATGAGAAGGTGGGACCCCCCACCTGCCCTGCCCACCCCACCCACCCCACCAGCTGGAGGAACCCAAGCCTCACTCACGGTCATGGCCTCAGTTTACCCCAGAACATACAGCCCAGGTCCCAAGACCCGACAGTCCCAACACCCCAGCCCCCGCACTACCCCCCCCCGCCCCAGAGGTTGCTTCTCACACAGTCTCACGGGGAGTGGGGGGAGGCAGGTTTGGGAGTGACCCACCCGAGACCTCGTTGCCCCTAGGAGTGCTATGACCGGTTACACAAGAAGATCAGCCACGTGTGGGACCTGGTGCTGATGCAGGCGAGGGAGCAGCTGAGGTGTGGCTCCTCCCCGCCCCGCGCTTCTGCACTTGCCCAACCCAGGCTAGTTGGGAAGCCCAGGGCAGGCCAGGCTCTGGTGGCCCTGGGACCCTGGAGGGCACCCCTGGGTGTGGCTACCTGCCCAGGGTGGATGGGAGGTGCTGCCGTGGGCAGGGCACACCCTCAACTTGGCCTCCTCTTCCCAGGGCAGCCAAACAGCGCAGGAAGGGGGATAGGCTGGTCATTGCGTGCCAGGAGCAGACCTACTGGCTGGTGAACAGGCCCCCGGTGAGCCCACCTGCGGAGGGGGTGGGGGTCGCTGGCCAGCGCTTCCCTGACAGGCACTCTTGGGACCACCGTTTTGAGCCTGTGGAAGGACTGCATTTCTGCCAATCAGAACCCACGTCTGCACCCCTAGACCACAGGACAAACCAGCTTCTCTATGGGCCCAAGGGAGAGGCACAGGGATGCCAGATTCTGCAGACCCTCAAGACGAGGGAGTAGGGGCGGCCTCGACTGCAGTGTGGGGACCGAGTTCACAGGCTGGGAGCAGCTGGAGCTGTGGGGAGACCTGGTGGACAGGCCCCTTGGGGGCGGTGAGCAGAGAAGAGGCAGCTCAAGGCTTTCCCGAGTTCCTTTGAGCGTCAGTTTCCACGTAGGGGTCTGAGAGGGGCAACGTAATCTCAAGCGGGTCAGCAGGCCACCGGAACTGCACCCCACCTCATCCCATCTCATCTCCGCCCCGCAGCCCGGAGCCCCCAGTGTGCTGGAGCAGGGTCCAGAGCGGGGATCCTGCACCGCCAGCCATGTGCACATGGTGAGCCCCGCGTGCGCGCCAGCCGCCCCCTCGCCCTGCATACTTGTCGCACCCTGCTGGACCCACCACGGGACTACCTGGGGCTGCCTGTCTGTCCGTCCTTCTGTCCACCCAGAGGGCCTTTGGTGCAGCCTCCCCAGTCTCCTGCTCACTCGAGGTCACTCTGCGATAACTCCTAAGTGGAGTGGCCTGGTAGGAGTGGGGGTGGGGCTGGGCAGCGGGTGGGGAGGACAGGGGCTCTTCTCCCAGACCAGGACAGGATCAGGGTTTGCAGGGAATTGGAGGGATGACGAGCAGAGTTACAACCTGACAGACCTGAGCAGATCCAGCCACCTCCCCCAGGTGGAGACCTCCAGAACCACAGGGGACCAGAGGGAGCATCTGAACCCCGCAGCAGCAAAACCCTTTATTCAAACCAAGTCCCACCCAGACCCAACATCTAGAACAGATCCACCCAGAACCTCATGGATAAAACTTAACTTCATAATTCGAGCATTTCCCCAGACAAAGCTGGTCAGAGAGAGCAGAACAAAGGCTGGGACTCACGGGACGTCTGCCTCCTCCGCTCTGGGCCCCTCGAGGCCCTAGCTCAATGTGTCACACCTGACTCCCTAGTGATTCCCATTAGTATTTCTCAAGTATGTGTTATTTAAAGACATAACATAGGCTGGGCATGGTGGCTCACGCCTGTAATCCCAGCACTTTGGGGGGGCGAGGTGGGTGCGTCACCTGAGGTCAGGAGTCCGAGACCAGCCTGGCCAATATGGTAACACTCCATCTCTACTAGAAATACAAAATTAGCCAGGCTTGGTGGCAGGTGCTTGTAATCCCAGCTACTCAGGAGGCTGAGGCAGGAGAATTGCTCGAACTCGGGAGGCAGGGGTTGCGGCGAGCTGAGATCGCACCACTGCACTCCAGGCTGGGCGACACAGCAAGATTCCATCTCAAAAATAATAATAAGCCGGGCGCCGTGGCTCAAGCCTGTAATCCTAGCACTTTGGGAGGCCGAGGTGGGTGGATCACTAGGTCAAGAGATCGAGACCATCCTGGTCAACATGGTGAAACCCCGTCTCTACTAAAAATACAAAAAATTAGCTGGGCATGGTGGCGCGTGCCTGTAATCCCAGCTACTCAGGAGGCTGAGGCAGGAGAATTGCCTGAACCCAGGAGGTGAAGGTTGCGGTGAGCCGAGATCGCGCCATTGCACTCCAGCCTGGGTAACAAGAGCGAAACTCCATCTCAAAAAAATAAAAAAATAAAATAATAATAATAATGTAAATACATTTGAAAATATGACACATTAGGCCAGGCATGATGGCTCACACCTGTAATCCCAGCACTTTGGGAGGCTGAGGCGGGTGGGTCACCTGAGGTCGGGACTTTGAGACCAGCCTAACCAACATGGAGAAACCCCGTCTCCACTAAAAATGCTAAATTAGGCCAGGCGCGGTGGCTCAAGCCTGTAATCCCAGAACTTGGGGAGGCCGAGGCGGGTGGATCACGAGGTCAAGAGATGGAGACCATCCTGGTCAACATGGTGAAACCCCGTCTCTACTAAAAATACAAAAAATTAGCTGGGCATGGTGGCGCGTGCCTGTAATCCCAGCTACTCAGGAGGCTGAGGCAGGAGAATTGCCTGAACCCAGGAGGCAGAGGTTGCAGTGAGCCGAGATCGCACCATTGCACTACAGCCTGGGTAACAAGAGCAAAACTCCGTCTCAAAAACAAAAAACAAAAAACAAAAAACAAACATATGCAACAATCTTGCATGTTCTTCACATGTACCCCAAAACCTAAAATGCAATTAAAAAAAAAAAAAAAACATTAGCTGGGCATGGTGGCGTGTGCCTGTAATTCCAGCTACTCAGGAGGCTGAGGCAGGAGGATTGCTTGAAACTTTAGTGAGCTGAGACCTTATACTCTAAGCCTGGACTCCATCTCAAAAAGAAAGAAAATATGACATATTAATCACAATTGCAACTTTGAGAACCTGAGCGTTCTGTGGAATATTCTGCAGATCGATCAACTCCCAGAGGTCTCCTGGAAAGTCAGACCCCTGACTGGAAGAAAGGGCTCCAAGGGGCAGGACTGGGAGGAACCTCAGCCTTGGTCTCTGCTGAGTCTCTGGGGCAGGGACTCAGTCTGGGGAGGTGCCCCCAGCAGGGGACTTACATCTAACTGTAGTCCACCTGTCCTCTTTTAGACCAAGACTGCAGATTTCTATAAGCGGGAGGTAAGTGCTAGGGCTGGGAGCGGAGGGTGCCGGGTCCCTTCCCCAGCCCAGGACCTGACTCAGGCCCCACATCCTAGATCGAATACTGCAGGAGAGCGCTGGGCAGGACCCGAGTCAAGTCCTCTGTCTGCCTTGAGGCGTGAGTGGGGCGAGGGGTGGCAGCTGGAGACCCAAGCCCAGGGCCCTCCTGCACCAGCCCGATACCCACTTCCAGGTACCTGAGTTTCTGTGACCAGCATGGACCCCACGACCCCCTCGTGTCGGGGTGCCTGCCCAGTAATCCCTGGATCTCAGATGACGACGCCTACTGGGTCATGAACGCCCCCACGTGAGCCCAGGCGGGGCAGGGGGACTAGGGGTGTGCTCTCAGCCTGGGGGCCTACAGAAGGGTCATCGCCCACCCTCCCCAACACCCCACCCTTCCCCCAGGGTGGCTGCCCCCACGAAGCTCCGTGTGGAGAGATGGGGCTTCAGCTTCCGAGAGCTTCTGGAGGACCCCATGGGGCGGGCCCACTTCATGGACTTTCTGGGGAAGGAGTTCAGTGGTGAGAATCCTTCCCCCGCCTCGCCGCCTCCTGCTCCAGTCCCGGCGGACAGGCTGTTGCCTGGGCCCCCATCTTTGGTTTCCACCAGTCCCCCTGGGACCCCTCCTGGCCAGCCAGTATTGGACCCTCCCACCTCGGTTTCCACCAGCCCCCAGCTAGGGACCTCTCCTGGCCCAGCCAGTCTGGGGCCCTCCTGGCCAGCTCTGGCTGCCACTCTCCATGAGATCCTTGACTGGGTGCCCCGGCCCTCCAGGAGAAAACCTCAGCTTCTGGGAGGCGTGTGAGGAGCTTCGCTATGGCGCACAGGCCCAGGTCCCCACCCTGGTGGATGCCGTGTACCAGTAAGTGCCGTGTGGTGGGTACTGGTTGGCCACTAGGGCAGGTGTACCCAGCCAGGACCGTCCAATGCTGCTCCCACCCCTAGGCAGTTCCTGGCCCCCGGTGCTGCCCGCTGGGTCAACATTGACAGCCGGACCATGGAGCGGACCCTGGATGGGCTGCGCCAGCCCCACCGCTACGTCCTGGACGATGCCCAGCTGCACATATATATGCTTATGAAGAAGGTGGGTGCCCGCCAGCCTGGAGGGGGCGGGCAGGGGCATCCCAGATGGGCCTCCATGTCCCCACCCTCGAGAGCAGAGTCCACATACTCACTGCCCATGATGACTCTGCCCCTGGGGGGCTGGATGGGGGTGTCCAGGGGTCCCACCGTGCTGGCTACTTTCCCTTCGGGGCTGTCCTGGGCTCACTTCTGGTTCAGAGGGGCTGAAGGACTGGCTGAGATCACATGCTTAATAAGGGTCAAGATTCCATCCAAAAAGGTGGTTTTTTTTTTTTTTTTTTTTTTTTTTGAGACAGAGTCTTACTCTGTCACCCAGCCTGGAGTGCAGTAGCTCAGTGCAAACTCTGCCTCCTGGGTTCCACACACCTCAGCCTCCCAAAGTGCTGAGATTACAGGCATGAGCCACCAAGCCACGCCTTTTTTTTTTTTTTTTTTTTTTTTTTTTTTTTTTTTTTTTTCCCCAAAGAAAGCATTTTACTCTTGTCAGCCAGGCTGGATCTCAGCTCACTGCAGCCTCCACCTCCCAGGTTCAAGCGATTCTCCTGCTTCAGCCTCCTGAGTAGCTGGGACTACAGGCGTGAGACCATGGCTGGCTAACTTTTGTATTTTCAGTAAAGACGGGGTTTCATCATATTGGTCAGGCTGACCTCGAACTCCTGGCCTCAGGTAATCCACGAGCCTCGGCCTCCCACTGGGATTACAGGTGTGAGCTAGTGAGCCTGACTTTATTTTTGTTGATATTTGAAATTTTCCAGCTGGGTGCAATCTTTGCTTACTGCAGCCTCAGCCTCCCAGGCTTAAGTGGTCCTCCTGCCGGCCAGCCTCTCCATGCTACCACACCTAGCTAATTTTTAAAATCTTTTGAAGAGGGGTTTTGCCATGTTGCCCAGGCTGGTATTGAACTCCTGGACTCAAGTGATTCTCCTTCCTCAGCCTCCCAAAGTGTTGGGACTCACTCTAGGGATGAGCCACCATGTTTGGATTTTTTTTTTTTTTAAGAGACAGGGTTTCACCATGTTGGTCAGGCTGGTCTTGAATTCCTGACTTCAGGTGATCCACTTGCCTTGGCCTCCCAAAGCGCTGGGATTACAGGCATGAGCCACGGCGTCCGGGCTGGATGTTTTTAGTACCACTGCAGACTCAGATTTCACCGTATCTGATGAGTTTCACCATAACCAGCATTATTCTTTCATGATGTTTGTGTGGCCGCGTGGCCCACGTGTGGCTGCTGGCCCGAGGCTTGTACTGCGTCCCTGGCACTTTATGGTGGCTTCCTGGCTCTCTTCCTGGAACGCATCACACAGAGCAAATTTTTGATGTTTTTGTGGAGATGGGATCTCACTGTGTTGCCCAGGCTGGTCTTGAATTCCTGGGCTTCAGCAATCAGCCCACCTCGGCCTCCCCGAATACTGGCACTGGAGGCATAAGCCACCGCGCGTGGCCCATCTGATTTTTCTTGACTCCACAACTCTGCCCTCACTCTGTGGGGCACACGGAGCCATTCCTGCTTCTTGGTTATGGCTGTGGAGGTGCTGCGGTTCACTCTCTACACAAGGGCACCAGGGCTCTTGCCATCGTTGCTGTGACATGGCTCAGGCAGACGGGAGTTCAGGTCTCCCTGAGTCTGCCTTGGTCTGGGCAGGTCTGGGGTGGCTGCACCTTCATGGGGAGCTGGCTGAGAGGTGAGGAGGCAGAAGGGGTCAGGGCTGGATGCTGTCTCCTGCAGGACTCCTACCCACGGTTCCTGAAGTCCGACATGTACAGGGGCCTCCTGGCAGAGGCTGGGGTCCTGCTGGAGATGAAGAGACGGTGAGGCCAGGCGGTGCCCTGTGGCTGGTAGGGCTGGAGGGAGAGAGGAAGGCTCACTGGGCATTGAGGTGGGCAGGACACCAGCTGGCCAGCCTGTTCTCAGCTCCCTTCTCACCCACAGCATGTTCCCGTTCACAAGGAGGCCACGGCGCTCCAGCCCCAGCCCTGCACTCCTTCCCACCCCTGTGGAGCCCACAGCGGCCAGTGGCCCTGCGGGTGGAGATGGGGTGGCCTAGTGGACCCGGCCCCTGACTGCCACCTCTAGTCCCTGCACCTCAGCATCCTGCGTGAACGCGGCAGCAACCCCGCTCCCAGCCCAGGTCCTGGTGGCTGCTGAACCCAGCACGGCATCCCCTTGTGCCCAGAGGGCCCAGTCCTGCTGTGGGGTGCACATCCTCCCTCCCCCTGGGAAGCCCTCCCTGCCCAGAAGGGATGTGTCCAGGTGCCGATTCCCAGGGAGGGGTTTCACTGGCCCAGCTTGGGTTAGGGCAGCACCTGCTACCTGGAGAGGTGAGACCGGGGCTGCACGGAGCTCCACCTTCTCTGGTCTTCAGTTCAGCACTGGGTGCCCATGCCCATCTCTAAAGCCAGTAAATCAACAGCAAATACCTGGAAGCAAGATGCACAGATGGGTGGCTTCCCACTCACCCGTCATGAGAGTTGGACACACAGGTCTCGGGACGCACTCTGTCCCGTCCAGGAGCCTCTCTGCTGTCACCCAGTGTGACCCTGGAAGGGGACCCGGGAGAGCCTGCGTTGAGCTCCCTGCCTTCTGGTGAACTGTGCGTGCTCCTCCCTCACCGAATGTGCTACAGAATCTGTCCACAGGTGCACCAGCACCTGTTTTTCCACTTCCAGGCCACAGCTTCCCCACCAGACTTGTACACAGACAACTCTGACACTGTCATCCCACTGACAATGCAGCCCCTAATTCCATAGGGTGGATCCTTGCCAGGTGTAACTGATCCTCCCTGCCCAAGCCTTCCTTTGTGAGCTGGCATTGCTCCCAGCCTCCCAAGTACCCCACCACTCCTCTAGACTGGGCGAAGGTACGGCTGGTTGCTTTCAGGGGTGCAGCTTCAACCATCTCCGCAGTGGAGGGGGTGCCACCCCCACCAGTAGGCTGGCTCACACCCACTTGCTTCCAACAGCTTCCAGCATACAAATAAAAGACCTTGGGCCCTCGTTTTGAGCCCAGTCTGCTGTGGGTGCAGCTTGTGGTGTGAATGTGCATGTGTAACACACATGTATGTGTGTAGAGTACATGATGCATGTGTGGTGTGTACGATGCATGCATGTGTAATGTGTGCATGTGCATATGATGCATGTGTAGTGCTGAGACACGTGTGCATAGCACATGCACATGTAGCTTGCATGATGCACGTGTGGTATGCACGTGTAGTGGTGTCCATATGTAGTGTGTATGTAGTATGCATGTGTGATATGTGGTGTGTGTCGTGCATGTGTGTAGCACATATGCATGGGTGTATTATGCACATGTGTGCAGTGTGTGCATGTGTGGTGAGGGAGGGGCAGGTCCCAGGTGTGTGGAGTTGATGGTGGAGGAGGGACTTGGCCCACTCAGACCCAGGCAGCAGACTTGGGAACATTTGGTCTTTGGGAGGAGACAGCCAGGGCCGCTGTGTTCTGTGGGCCGGGGGTGAGCAGGGTTGTGTGGGGACACCTGGCCTCCAGAGGGGTAAGTGAGGAAACTCAGTTCAGGAGGCCTGTGGGGAGGGCAGTTGTCCCCAGCCTGCCCTAAGGCCACAGAGCTGCAGAGGCATGTCATGGCAGGGCCCAGACCCTCTAGGGCCCAGTGACCACAGGGCAAGAATCCCTTCCTCACAGTCAAGGGGTGCAGGCTGTTACTGCAGGGGAACCTCTGCCCACCACCAACGACACCCCGTGGCCCAGCCCCTCAACTCCTGCTTCTCAGGGCGGGGCTCATTACCTGTCTGCCCCTCCGTGGCCAGGGGCACGGCTGCTCCTGCAACCTGCATGTCTCCCTCCCTTTGGGGACCCCCTGCACTCCCTCCTGTGCTGTTGGGAGCAGCTTTTGCAACCCCAGTGAACATTCCTCTCTCCCTCCAGCCCTACCCTGCCTGCCCAGTGGTTGTCATTTACAGGCCCTGTCCCCAGAGCCCTTAGCCCTTTCATGCTCAAGGCCTTTTGGGCTGGGGCACTTTTCCCACGGAGAAGAGACGCGCTTCCCGGCAGGAGGGCACCCCCCGTTCAGCCTCAGTCCCCGTGTCCCTTGTGGCAAGGAGCAGCAGGAACAAGGTTCCACCCGGACAGCGCGGAAACAGGGCTTTTCATACTTGAATACCCACAGGACACTCCTGCAGGGTTCTCTCAAGCACCTGTCTGCACCTCACAGTTTCCACACCCAAAGCTGCCTCTCAGGGAAGCCACTGCCTGGCTCCTCCTGCCTGCGTGTGGTCACCAGAGGTCAGCCCCGCCGTCATGGCTTCACGCTGGTGTCCGGCCAGCCCTCAGAGGTTACACGGTACTGAGGCCACCGTCTGTTCCAGGTGGGAGCACACCCACTTGCTTGGAGCCAGGGTGCCCAGCTCGTGGGGCAGGGGTCCTCAAAGCGGAGACCCCTGAGGCTGTCAGAATGGCTGGGTGCCCAGTTTCTGACTGAGCAGGTCTCGGCGGGTGGGGGGGTGCACACCTCCTCAGCAGCCTTTCCTACCTGGACCCAGGCTGGCTGGCAAATTCCTGGTGACTCCTCCACGAACAAATCCATTTTACTACTTTGGGAGCAAAGAGACCAGCAGACACACAGACGCTAGGCTCATGCCTGACCAGGTTTTTCAGGCAGTGCAAAAACGTTTATTCTGCTTTCTTCCTTGGTGGGTGGGGTCATCAGGCTGCTTTGGCTATGAAGCTCGGCCCCCGTGGCCTGGGCGGCCTGGGCAGCACAGAGCACCACAGCCGCCCTGGGGCCTCGGGAGCAGCAAGGCACAGAGGTGAATCCTGCATCGGGTGACACAGCTGGGTCGTGTGAGCACCGCAAGGGGAGAGGCGAGGCACAGGGACCTCTTCTGGGATAAAGCAGCTCCAGTGTCTACTGAGAGGGCACAGACCGACCCAAACAGGCAGTACACAGCCAGTTCCTCAGGACGTTCACAGCACACGCAGACACAACATGCTGCAACACCACTAAGGACACCTGTGAGCAGCCGTGGGCTCCGCTCCAGAGCAGGCCCTGCCTGTCCTGTCGGGGGAGAACCCTGCTCCAGAGCCCCCTTCCTCACAGGGCCCGGTCAAAGGAACCCAGTCACACCCCCCCATGCTAGAGGGTCCCCCTGTTGCTCCAGGTAGGGCTGGGAAGCTGGAGTTGTCTCAGGTTCCAGTTGCACCCCTGAGGCTACCCCAGGCCCAGCACACTGTGAGTTCCATGACTCCATGGGGGACAGAGCGCAGGAGGGAAAAGAGGAATGGACTTCTGCAGGAGGGGGTAAGGGACGGCCTGTCCCAGGGACACTCTGCCTCTTCCTACACACTGGCTGCTCTGGCCTGGGGAGAAGCTGGCAAGGAGAAGGCACCGGGTAAGGACAGGGTGCTACAGGGCCCAGCTCTGCCCAAGGAGGCCCAGGGAGACCACGATGAAGGCTGCCCGGTGTGAGCGGCACTCTATGTGGGGACCCAGGGAGGACGCTGGGCAGGAGAGTGCCGCAGGGTGTCCCCTCACCCATGCACGTCCCTGGGTGTGATCACGGAGGACTGGGAGGGCCGCTGCTACCCAGCCCTCCTGGTGGAGACCATCCCCAGGGCCAGGAGTCGGGGAGTCAGTGCAGAAACCCGGGGACGGGCCCACTCACAGGACATTTAGTGTTAGCAGGCAGAGTCTCTCCCATATGCTCTGGCTGGCCTGCCTCTACGCCTCACTCCGGTACCGCAGCCGGGAGAACCGGTCCCTGATGGCCTGGTCACTGTCTGGCCCACCCTCACCCAGGTGGACCACCCTGCTGCTTGGGACAAGGTCCCGCACCTTGTGCTTGATCACAGAGACCAGGCCAGGTGCCTCCGAGTTCGCTGGGCCTGTCAGGAGGACGTAGGCAGCGTGGCGGCTTGGCTCAAACAGGACAGCTGCAGGGCAGGGGACACAGCCATCAGGGCGGCTTGGGACCAGTCAGAGCAGACCCCACAGAACACCTGGGTCCCTGGCCGAGGCCGCACTCACCGTCGAAGGCGACAATGTGAGTAGAGACGTTGACCAGCTCCAGTAGCACATGCGGCAGGGTGGGGTGGAACATGTACAGGCTGTGCCGGGCCTCCCCAGTCTCCTGGGAGAGAACCAGCAGTGGGCCCCACGACCTTCACGGAGCACTCCCCCAGGACACTGCTGTCAGTGACCATGCCTGCAGATCCACGCCCACTAGGGACCCTGTCCGGGTCCCCCAAACGCCGGGCCCAGCTCTGTAGCTCCTCCCAGCTCCTCCCACCCATCCTGGTCCTGACGCTCATCCTTGCTGGGTGGCCGCGCCCTTCGGGGCACCGCAGGCCACTGGTGCCTCGCCCTGGACTAGCCTAAGGTCATCTCCCTCAGCTCGCACCACCCCATCCTGACCGACTGTCACTGGACTTCAATTTATTTGAGGTTGCCCAGGCACCGATTAGCTTCTGGGCACTCCCAGGTGGAGCCCAAGCCTCGGTCTCTGGCCCTGGCTCCCGCACAGCTGCTCTGAGAGAGGCTCCCATACCGTCTCGCTGCTGCTGCCCAGCTCGTGGAGGCCCCAGAAGAAGAAGGCTGAGCGGTGGTCTGCGGTGGGCAGGCTGGTGGACTGTGGACTCCCAGGGAGGCTCGGGAGGGCTAGGCTCCGCAGGACGTCTCCAGTGCTGAGGTCCAGGAACAGGATCTGGGGAGGGAGGGGGGACTGTGGGGGCCATCCTGGGGGCTACTGGGAAACCCTCAAGGTTTGCACGGGCACACGTGCCTGCAGCCACGCCAGCCTGGAGGCTGATGCTCGGAGGGAGGCGGAACCTTCTCAGCGACACTGAGGGCAGCAGCCTCCTGGGCCACAGCCCCATCTGCTTTCAGAGCAGCCGAGGATAGACGCCACCTCCAAAGGAAGAGCAGCGAACCTGTCTGTCGGTGCCAGTTCCGTTTTCAACGACAACAGTCAAGGTGTCTGGTTTGTAGTGGCCGAAGATGGGTTTTCTGGAAGAACAGGGAGGAGTGAGCACAAGGGCTCTCAGCGAGTAGACAGATGAAGGAGCGCCGCGAACAGGTCTGCCCCTCAGTCTCCCACGGCCGCATCTGGACCGGGACCCCCGGACACGGAGCAGATATCTGGGGCAAGGGGCAGCACCAAAGACAGGCGAGAGGCCCCGGCAGCCGCACACGGCCCTCACCCCGCAAGTGGCCTCCTCACCAGCCAACAGGACATGCCCAGGGGGCTGAAAAGCAGCATGTGCGTGACGCCTGGGAGACCCCGTACCTTAGGACATGGGCTGCCCTGGGCGGCCAGCGGTGTGTCAGCTTCTGCCCATCCAGCAGCACGCAGGCCTCCGAGCCCACGAGGAACACGTCTGTGCCAGTGTTCCCTGGGACATGCATCAGGTAGCGCACTGCTCCAGAGCTACAAAGAAGAGTGGGAGAAAGGGGTGCCGGGTCCCCAGGGGAGGCCTCAGACACCCAGTAGGGGCAGGGCTCCTGTACTGCCATCTCAGGGGGCTCCTCTCAGGCCCCTTAATCCCTGTGTTCCTCAGTTCTACAGCTTGGAAAGAGAAGCAAGAGCCCCTCTCCGTGGAGACGGACAGGCACACCATGAGGACCCTTCCTTCTCTTTGCTCTGTCCCGGCTTTTGTTTGACATTTCTCCCATCCGAGCCCAGGCTGACCCCGAGGTACCCCCAGCCCGCCCTGCCCGCAGAGCTGCTCTGGGCTCCACAGAGACGGTCCAGAACACTGGGGCTGGGGAGCTAGGCTGAGGTGGGGCGCTCTGCATGGAGAAAGGCCTCGGCCCAGACCCACCTGTGGGAAAGCGTCCTGTGGGTAGTGGCGTTGAACATGCTCTCCCAGAGGGAGTCCTTCTTGAATGGGCCATCCCTCCCGGTCACCTTCTCGTAGAGACCCTTCACAGACCAGCTGCAGAGGGAGCTTGCTATTCAAAACACAGAAGGGCCCGAAGTCAACGGGGTCACACCGGGAACCCACACCAGGAGCACTCAGGGCCACGTGGGGCCAGGCCCTGGGCTTCCCGACTCCAGCACCTCTAGTATAGAAGCAGGGCCTGGGGGGCCGCGGGGCAGTCACCATTCCCTCCTACACTCTGCCCGTGAGGCTGGCCAGGCACATACCACAAGGGAAGAGGATGTAGTGGGCACCCGTCCTGGTGACGTGAAGGAGGAAGCCACTTTCCCCGTCCACGCCGAGGCTGCCTCTGAGGCCAATCTGGTCCCCATTGCGGCCTGAATAGAGATGACCACTAACCTGCAATGACACAGGGCCCAAGGAAGAGAGGGACCTGAGTCCAGGGCTGGGGTACCGGGAGATGCGGAAAGGGGAGGGGCCCCAGGCTCTGGATTTTGAGGAAAGAGGTGTTCACATCAGAGTCTGACACTACGGTCAGTGACTCCACACTGCACAGGCCATCTGAGGCAGGCAGGGCAGCCCTCAGAACTTCACCCTCAGCACTGCAATGGTACAAAATGGAAATGTGTGTATGCCACCGTTCTTGGGGAGGCCCCAAAGCTGTCTGGTAAAGGTGGAGTCCCCTCAGTATGCTGGGTCGATGGGAGTTGGGAACGTGGGGCTCTTGGCGAGTCCCCGACAAGCGGTCAGACCCAAATCCTATCTGGGAAGTTGGGCTGTACCTCCTCCTGCTCCTGGGTGAGAACCAGCAAGTCTGGGACCCCGTCGCTGTCCACATCAGGCACCTGCAGCAGAGGGCTCAGGATGGACGAATTCCTGCTGAAGCTGCTGGCATGGTGCCACTGGGTTTCCCCTAAAATCAGGCACATGGTCGCGGAATGCAGCCGAGCCCCCTTCGATAGCAGCCTGGCAACTGCACAGCCTGTGACAGGCAGGCTCCCGTGGAGCTGTCACCCTTGCGACTGCACGGCTCCCCACACACTCAAAGCAGGTATCCCGACAGGAGGGAGGGCAGCACTCCGTGCTCGTAGAGGAGCAGCACCCGGAAGTGGACACACGACCTGCCTCCGTATGGAGGCCCAGTGGCAATACGCCAAAGGCTGACAGCCTCATTCCTGGGAACCGCAGAGTTCCCCCTTCCTTTTCTCCCAGCTGTGTGTCCTAGAACATCGAGGGCCAACGCTGACCCCCTGCCTGAATGCATGAAGCCTGACCTCCCCGACCTCTCCAAGCCCCTGCCTCTTGCAGGCCCCGGCTGAGCAGCCCCTTCCTCTGCCCTGCACAGAGAAGGCAGGAATGGAGGTGTGTGCTTGGAGGCAGATCTACTGACCACAGGTCCCAACGCAACTCCTCACCCACACACATTCTCATCCAAACCTTTTTTTTTTTAAGACAGAACCCTTGATTCTTAAAATATTTCCAGCCTGCTCTTTATTCTCCTCCATATCCTTAAAATGACAACTTGTAAGGGAAATGTGAACATTCACCAAATCTAGGCACAGAATTCCTCCAGAGCGCCATGAGCTGCGAGGAGCCCACGCGCACACCCTCCGCCCTCCATGCATACCACACGTTCCAATGCTGTGCTTCCACGTGGCCGGCTCCGCTTGGGCTCGGAGACCTGCGCCTTCAGGCTCAGGGGCACCTACAGGCCCATCTTCCCTGGTGGGCTGAGTGCAGGTTCATGTTCTGGGTTCGCCCTGGCCACTGCCACCACAGACACCCCAGGAGCAGCCGGCGGCCAAGCCGCTCCTCCTCTCTGCTACCCCACAGCAGGTGACATCTGCCCGTGGGTGACAGCCCACCCAGGTGTAACGGAGGTGACAGACACCATGCAGGGAGGCAGCTGAGGCGCAGGACTTTCACTTGGAGGCTCTCCCCATGAGTTTCCTTCCCATCCAGCCACCCTCAAGATCACGGGGCTGAGCCTGGCCTACCTGTGAAGAAATTTACTGCAGTGAAAGAGCTGGGTCTGCCCACAAGGATGCAGGAAGGAGGCGCCTCACTGCCCCTTGGCCGGGGCACAGCACACTCCACGAAGGCCACGTCTTGGGCCACAGGCCTCTCCCAGAGCGTGCTGCCATTGGCCCCAGACAGAGCAGCCGCAAAGGTGCAGGGAGAGGAAAAGCCTGTAGGGAGAGACACCAGCACATCACTGCTGCAGCCTCCGGGCAACTGGGCAGGCCCCAGTGTGTGCTCTGCCAGGCCTGTCTTCCTCACACCTCACCCTGGCCACAGCCCCTCCCTCCCAGGTATATCCCCTTTATCTTGTAGGCTCTTCGGGCTCTAACGCTGACCCACGGGGTCTCAGTGGCCACGGTGATGCTAGGGCTGGGCCTCCCAGCCTCTTTCTAGTCCTGGCAGGAAGGGTGATGAGATGGGTTTCACAAATACCAGCATCGGCTTCCCCAAAACCCAAAACAAAGATTCCTCCTTCTACATGGAGCTCCTCCTTTTCAGATAAAATGACATTACCTTCATCCATGCAGGACTGGTTGAAATTGTTGCTGCTGTTGGTGTTTTTATAAAGAAAGAGAATATCTTGGATCCTGTCCCCATTTATGTCGTCCACAGCCAGAAAGTCATAGGTGACTGCAAGAGAAAACCAGACTGTACTCCACAGGCCATGCCTGGTTTCCAGGAATGGTCAGGTCCAACATGAACTACTTCTCTGCCCCCTGTGAGGTCACCCAATGAGGACGGTGGCTTCTTCCCCACGAGGATGAGTAATTTCCTTCCAGAGCACAAGGGGTGGGACGACAATGCCCAGTGTTCATCTTCAGAAAAGAACAAGCAGGAATCCTGGGCGTGCCCAACTGATGTCCTGCCACCTTCTGGTGAGAAACAAATCCCTCCCTAGAACAGATGGTATCTAGACAGTCCACATTTCCTTTCATTCAAGGACTCAAGCGATAAATTATATGCCCTAAACTCAAACACCAAAAGAATGAAGTTGAACCCCCTCCACAACTTTTTAATTTAGAAACAGCGTCTAGGCTGGGCGCAGTGGCTCAAGCCTGTAATCCCAGCACTTTGGGAGGCCAAGGCGGGTGGATTACGAGGTCAAGAGATCGAGACATCTTGGTCAACATGGTGAAACCCTGTCTTTACTAAAAATACAAAAAATTAGCTGGGCATGGTGGCGCATGCCTGTAATCCCAGCTACTCGGGAGGCTGAGGCAGGAGAATTGCCTGAACCCAGGAAGCGGAGGTTGTGGTGAGCTGAGATCACGCCATTGCACTCCAGCCTGGGTAACAAGAGCGAAACTCCATCTCAAAAAAAAAAAAAAAAAAAAAAAAAAAGAAACAGGGTCTGGCTATGTGGTCCAGGCTGGTCTTGAACTCCAGGCCTCAAGTGATCCTCCTGCCTCACCGTCCCGAAGGTTGGGATGGCAGGCACGAGCTGCTGGGTCCAGCGTGAAGCTGGATCTTCACTTTTATATCATGCACAAAAATGAACTCAAAGCCGGGCGTGGTGGCTCACGCCTGTAATCCCAGCACTTTGGCAGGCTGAGGTGGGTGGATCACCTGAGGTCAGGAGTTCGTTACCAGCCTGACCAATATGGTGAAACACCATCTTAAAAAAAAAAAAAAACTCAAAATGAATTAAACACCTAAACATAAGAGCTAAAACTATGTGACTCAGGAAAAAAAAAAAAAAGGAAAAATGTTCATGACACTGGATTTGGTAAGGATTTTTTGACACAAAAGTGCAGGAGGCCAGACACAATGATTCACACCTATAATCCCAGCACTTTGGGAAGCCAGGGGAGGAGGGCAGATCATCTGAGGTCAGTGAGACCAGCCTGGCTAATATGGTGAAACCCTGTCTCTACTAAAAATACAAAAATTAGCCAGGCGTGGTGGCATAGGCCTATAATCCCAGCTACACAGGAGGCTGAGACAGGAGAATCACTTTAACCCAGGAGGTGGCAGTTGCAGTGAATCAGGATCACGCCACTGCACTCTCCCACCTGGATGACAGAGTGAGATGCTGTCTTAAAGGAAAAAACAAAACCACAGGAAACAAAAGAAAAAGTAAAGTGGACTTCATGAAAATTAAAAACTTTGGCCACAGTGCCTCATACCTGTAATTCCAGCACTTTGGGAGGCCAAGGTGGGTGGATCACAGGGTCAGGAGACTGTGACCATCATGGGTAACATGGTGGAACCTCATTTCTACCAAAAATCTACAAAAAAATTAGTCGGGCATGGTGGTGGGCACCTATAGTCCCAGCTACTTAGAAGGCTGAGGCAGGAGAATCGCTTGAACCCGGGAGGCAGAAGTTGTAGTGAGCCGAGATCACGCCACTGCACTCCAGCCTGGGTTACAGAGCAAGACTCCATCTCAAAAAAACAAAACAAAACAAAACAAAACAAAAAACAACCCCAGAACACTTTTATGCATAAAATACTACTATCAAGAGAGTGAAAAGGTCAGGCATGGCGGCTCACACCTGTAGTCCTAGTACTTTAGGAGGCCGAGACAGGTGAATCACTTGAGATCAGGAGTTTGAGACCAGCCTGGCCAACATGGTAAAACTACCCGCTCTACCAAAACTACAAAAATTAGCCAGGCAGGGTGGCATGTGCCTGCAACCCTAGCTACTTGGGAGGCTGAGACAGGAGAATTGCTTGAACCCGAGAGGTGGAGGGTACAGTGAGCCAAGATGGAACCACTGCACTCCAGCCTGAGGGACAAGGGCAAAACTCCATCTCAAAAAAAAAAAAAAAAAAACCAGCTAGGCTCGGTGGCTCATGCCTTTAATCCCAGCACTTTGGGAGGCTGAGATGGGTAGATCGCCTAAGGTCAGGAGTTTGAGACCAGTCTTGCCAGCACAGTGAAACCCGTCTCTACTAAAAATGCAAAAAATTAGGTGGTACATGCCTGTAATCCCAGCTACTAGGGAGGGTCAGGCAGAAGAGTCACCTGAACCCAGGAGGTAGAGATTACAGTGAGCGAGATCATGCCACTGCACTCCAGCCTGGGCAACAAGAGGGAACTTTTTTTTTAAAAAAAAAAAAAAAAAAAAGGAATTTTTTTTTTTGGCAGGTGAGTTATTACACACTCCATAGCAGATTCTGACTTCCATGGCCCATCCTGCTAAGACAGAAATTTAATAAAATTTAAAATTTTTTTAAATAGCCGGTCGCAGTGGCTCAAACCTGTAATCCCAGCACTTTGGGAGGCCGAGGTGGGTGGATCACGAGGTCAGGAGATCGAGACCATCCTGGTCAACATGGTGAAACCCCGTCTCTACTAAAAATACAAAAAATTAGCTGGGCATGGTGGCGCGTGCCTGTAATCCCAGCTACTCAGGAGGCTGAGGCAGGAGAATTGCCTGAGCCCGGGAGGCAGAGGTTGCGGTGAGCCGAGATCGCGCCATTGCACTCCAGCCTGGGCAACAAGAGCGAAACTCCGTCTAAAAAAAAAAAAAAAAAAAAAAAAAAAAAAAAAAAAAAAAATTTAATAAAAAATTTAAATTAAAAAAAATTTTTTTAATAAAAAATTTAAATTAAAAAAAATTTTTTTTAAATGAGCAAAAGGCCAAAAGACTTGCATGGACATTCACCAAAGAAGATACAAGAATGATTAAAAATCACATAAAGAGCCGGGCGCGGTGGCTCAAGCCTGTAATCCCAGCACTTTGGGAGGCCAAGGCGGGTGGATCACGAGGTCGAGAGATCGAGACCATCCTGGTCAACATGGTGAAACCCCGTCTCTACTAAAAATACAAAAAACTAGCTGGGCATGGTGGCGCGTGCCTGTAATCCCAGCTACTTAGGAGGCTGAGGCAGGAGAATTGCCTGAGCCCAGGAGGCGTAGGTTGCCATGAGCCGAGATCGCGCCATTGCACTCCAGCCTGGGTAACACGAGCGAAACTGTCTCAAAAAAAAAAAAAAAAAAAAAAAAAAAAAATAAATAAATAAATAAATCACATAAAGAGAGGAGGCCAACACTTTTAGTCACTGGGAGATTTTTTTTTTTTTTTTTTTTTTTTTTTTTTTTTTTTGAGACGGAGTTTCACTCTTGTTATCCAGGCTGGAGTGCAATGGTGTGATCTCGGCTCACCGCAACCTCCGCCTCCTGGGTTCAGGCAGTTCTCCTGCCTCAGCCTCCTGAGTAGCTGGGATTACAGGCACACGCCACCATGCCCAGCTAATTTTTTGTATTTTTAGTAGAGACGGGGTTTCACCATGTTGACCAGGATGGTCTCGATCTCTCGACCTCGTGATCCACACGCCTCGGCCTCCCAAAGTGCTGGGATTACAGGCTTGAGCCACCGCGCCTGGTGTCACTGGGAGATTCTAATTCACACTCACTACCATGGGCATAATCAAAAAGACAGACAATAGGCCGGGCGCGGTGGCTCAAGCCTGTAATCCCAGCACTTTGGGAGGCTGAGGCGGGTGGATCACGAGGTCGAGAGATCGAGACCATCCTGGTCAACAAGGTGAAACCCCGTCTCTACTAAAAATACAAAAAGTTAGCTGGGCATGGTGGTGCGTGCCTGTAATCCCAGCTACTTAGGAGGCTGAGGCAGGAGAATTGCCTGAGCCCAGGAGGCGGAGGTTGCGGTGAGCCGAGATCGCGCCATTGCACTCCAGCCTGGGTAACAAGAGCGAAACTCCGTCTCCAAAAAAAAAAAAAAAAAAAAAAAAAAAAAAGACAGACAATAATAAGTGTTGGCAAGGACTGGAGAAACTAAAGGCCTCCTCAGCATTGTAGGTAGGAATGTAAAATAGTACAGTCGCTTTGGAAAACAGCTTGTCAGCTTCTCAGAAAGTTAAACATAAACTTACCACAGGGCTCAACAATTCTGCTCCTAGCAATGTACCCCAGAAATGAAAACCTATCCACACAAACATCTACAGACGAATGTCCACAGCAGCATTATTCCTAAGAGCCCCAACCGGGAGCGATCTAGATGATCATCAGCCAGCACCCCTGGCAGGAGCACTGCTCGGTGATGGAAAGACACAGACCATGACACGAACGAACCGCACAAAATCACACTAAGTGAAGGAAGTCACGCTCCAAAGGGACGTACTGTATGATATCACTTCTATAAAATATATCTAGAGGCCGTGCACGGCGGCTCATGCCTGTAATCCCAGCACTTTGGGAGGCTGAAGTGGGCGGATCATGAGGTCAGGAGTTTGAGACCAGTCTGGCCAACACAGTGAAACCCCATCTCTACTAAAAATACAAAAAATTATCTGGGCATGGTAGCGGGTGCCTGCAGTCCCAGTCACTCAGGAGGCTGAGGCAGGAGAATCACCTGAACCCAGGAGTTGGAAGTTGCAGTGAGCTGAGATCCCATCACTGCACTCCAGCCTGGCAACAGAGTGAGACTTCATCTCAAAAAAAAAAAAAAAAAAAAGGCCAGGTTGGGAGGCTGAAGAGGAAGGGCAAACTGCCTAAGGTCAAGAGTTGGAGACCAGTCTGATCAACATGGTGAAATCCCGTCTCTACTAAAAATACAAAAATATGGCCGGGCGCGGTGGCTCAAGCTTGTAATCCCAGCACTTTGGGAGGCCGAGGCGGGTGGATCACGAGGTCGAGAGATCGAGACCATCCTGGTCAACATGGTGAAACCCCGTCTCTACTAAAAGTACAAAAAATTAGCTGGGCATGGTGGCACGTGCCTGTAATCCCAGCTACTCAGGAGGCTGAGGCAGGAGAATTGCCTGAACCCAGGAGGCGGAGGTTGCGGTGAGCCGAGATCGCGCCATTGCACTCCAGCCTGGGTAACAAGAGCGAAACTCCGTCTCAAAAAAAAAAAAAAAAAAAAAAAAAATACAAAAATATTAGCCAGAAATGGTGGCATGTGCCTATAATCTCAGCTACTTGCGAGACTGAGGCAAGGGAATTGCTTGAACCAGGGAAGGTGGAGGTTGCAGTGAGTCGAGATCACGCCACTGCACTCCAGCCCGGGCAACAGAGCAAGACTCTGTCTTTAAAAAAAAAAAAAAAAAAAAAAAAGGTTGGGCGCAGTGGCTCACGCCTATAATCCCAGCACTTTTGGAGGCTGAAGCAGGCAGATCACAAAGTCAGGAGCTTGAGACCAGCCTGACTAAGATGATGAAACCTCATCTCTACTAAAAATACAAAAAAATTAGCCAGGCGTGGTGGCACACACCTGTAATCCCAGCTACTCAGGAGGCTGAGGCAAGACAATCCCTTGAACCCAGGAGGCAGAGGTTGCAGTGAGCCAAGATCATGCCACTGCACTCCAGTCCAGGCAACAGAGCAAGATTCTTGTCTCAAAAAAAAATAAATAAATAAATTAGAGCATAATAAAACTGCAAAAAAAAAAAAAAAACAAAAAACAGAGAAACATATATTGTCTTCCCAAATTAAGCGCTGAATCTTGAACACATACTGAACCTAAGTGAGGTTTCAACAGGAAATGCTACTGATGTTGCTGGTGAAGCCCTCGAGTCTGTGCCAGGAAACACTCTGGGGCTCTCAGTGCTCACACCCACCGACATGCTGACTGCAGCTGCTGTTCTCCCAGGAGCACCATGTCCTGACTAAGGCTGACTCCACTGCTTTTCGTAAAGGCCAAGACTCCAGACTGCCACATTCATGAGACAGTAATCAAAGTGTGATCTCCTTTCGCTAACCAGAATATGAGCTGGGGCACCCTAGCAAGTCTGGACCGCACAAGCTGGTGCATGTTCTTCACATTTCATGACAGACTTCTCTGTATCTTTCCGTCGGCAGCTCTGTTTCATTAAATTCTTTAATTTAGAAAAGCAGCCAAATAGCTGGGTGGGGTGGCTCACACCCATAATCCCAGCGCTTTGGGAGTCCAAGGCAGGTGGATCACAAGGTCAAATGATGGAGACCATCCTGGCTAACATGGTGAAACCATGTCTCTACAAAAAAAATAAAATAAAAAAATTAGCCAGGCATGGTGGCATGCACCTGTAATCCCAGCTACTAGGGAGAATGAGGCACTTGAACCCAGGAGATGGAGGTTGCAGTGAGCCAAGATCATGCCACTGCACTCCAGCCTGGGCAACAGAATGAGACTTTAGTCTCAAAAAATAAAGAAAACTACAGAGGGCCGGGCACGGTGGCTCAAGCCTGTAATCCCAGCACTTTGGGAGGCCGAGGTGGGTGGATCACAAGGTCGAGAGATCGAGACCATCCTGGTCAACATGGTGAAACCCCGTCTCTACTAAAGATACAAAAAATTAGCTGGGCATGGTGGCGCGTGCCTGTAATTCCAGCTACTCAGGAGGCTGAGGCAGGAGAATTGCTTGAACCCAGGAGGCGGAGGTTGCGGTGAGCCGAGATCGCGCCATTGCACTCCAGCCTGGGTAACAAGAGTGAAACTCCGTCTCAAAAAAAAAAAAAAAAAGAAAACTACAGAAAAGTAACCGGGCGTGGTGGCGCACGCCTGCAATCCCAGCTACTCAGGAGGATGAGGCAGGAGAATCACTTGAACCTGGGAGGGTGCAGTAAGCTGAGACTGTGCCATTGTACTCCAGCCTGGGTGACAAGAGAAAAACTCTGACAAAAAAAAAAAAAAAAAAAAAAAAAAGAAAAGAAAAGTAGCCAAATAGGCTACTTTTGTTTATTTACCCACCTGATCCTTCCTGAAAACGGGAGACCCAGAAGCCAGCCACAATACCTCCCTGGCAGTGTTTCCACGTTTACTTAAGGGCTGCTCGGCCGGGTGCTGCAGTGGCTCACTGTAATCCCGGCCCTTTGGGAGGCTGAGGAAGGTGGATCACCCAAGGTCAGGAGGTCAAGACCAGCCTGACCAACATGGAAAACCCTGTCTCTACTAAAAACACAAAATTAGCTGGGTGTGGTGGTGCATGCCTGGAATCCCAGCTACTTGGAAGGCTGAGGCAGGTGGAGGTTGTGGTGAGCTGAGATCCCACCACTGCTCTCCAGCCTGGGCAACAAGAGTGAAACTTTGTCTCAAAACAAAAACCAAAAAACTAAAAACGATGCTCTATCACTCCCTGAAACTCCAGGAAAACCTCGGACATAGAAGTGGCAGCCCCTTGGGGTTGATTCACTGTTAAAGGCCACTTCTAGACTCACAGACACAAATTCTGCCCCCCACCCCCTGGGAAGAGCTGCTTTGGACGCCACTGGGCGGGGAAACCTAGGCTCACCAGCAGTATTGTAGTCGACCCTCCACATGCGCTGTGACGCTGGCCGGTCTGGACACGGGATGACGAATGAGACGACAAACACCACAAAAAGGCAGAGAAACAACGAAAGAAAAAACGCCACCGTACGGCATCGGGAGAGCTGGGATTGCGGAGGCGTGCTTTTCAAGTTATCTTCATTTTTCGACGGGTTTCCCAGATTTTCCTGCGATTTTCTTTCTTCATTTTTCAAGGGGTAGATTTCGGCTTCTAAGTCCTTGTTGTCCAACATCACGTGCACATCCCAAAGTTTAGCTCCTGGTCACTGAGTCAATAAAACAAGAGGTCGGCAAGGCTGGCAGTCCCACAGCACAAAGCTGCAGCACAGAGGACTCTGCTGGTGTCAGCTTCTTGCGGAGCTGGCTGCAGCTGTAACTATGGGCCATCAGGCCAGGAAATAAAAGCTAAATAAATGTTTAGCGTGTCAGTCTTAAACGACTGTACTTAAAAAGGTCTCTAATTAACATGGGAAGGCGAATTAGCTGTGTAGAGCCAGCAGGCAGGAAACTATCTTCATCCTGAACACGCTGGTGCTTCCTGCCGCCGCACCCAGGAACTGCTGAATGAGCTCCAGGGCAGTGCTGGGCCTGAGCTGGGATGAGGAAACCCACACCCTGCAAGTTAAACTAAGCCCCGCCTACTCAGCATCTGAGCCTTCTGAGGGACCTTCCACCAGCCTCAAGCACAGATGGAAAAGGTGGCCCAGGTGCACACACATGGGCTCCCTGGAGGGCCACAGACCCACAATTCAAAGCACCCTGAGTCAAGATGGGCTCCAGGCAGGCAGCCTTGTGCCTCTCTAGCTGTGTGACCAGGACATGTGCTTTGACTGAACTGTGCCTCAGTTTCCTTATCTGTAAAAGAAATATCTACCTTAGAAGCCCATTCTAAGGATTAATTAAATGCATATGAAGCATTTATAAGATCATTTGATACAGAGTAACATTCAAACACTAATTATTATTAGTAAAGCATGTTCATGATAAACACAAACTAGAAAAAAATAAAATAAAGTCTGTTCAAACGGAAGTCCATGGGGAGGACAGAGGACAGCTGTGTGGAGTGAGCTCAGGGCTGGGCTAACTTCTGAGCCCCGACTCTGAAGGGGAAAAACAGGCCCCCTCCTCACCCTGGTCCCCTCCTGCTGGCTGGATTGGGGGTCGACGTGGCGGTGAAACCGGCAGTCACCATCTTAGAGACAAAATGGAAGACGTGTTTGAAGATGGGAAAGGTGCAAGGCCCCTGATATCTGCCAGCCACCATCACCCAGCCTGAGCTGCTTCCACTGTACTAAATGAGAAAAAAACAAACTTCCATTTTGTCTTAGGCAAGATTTTTGTTATTTTGACCCCTTTTAAACAGCCAAACTGACGGCCTAACACAACATACTGAGAAACTGGACATGATCATGCAGACGTTAGGTATAATCTTCATCTACCCAAAAAGGAAGTCAACAGTCCATGACAAAGGGAGGGGTGAAAGAGGGGGAACAGAGGTCGGGAGGGAGTGCGGAGAGCTGAAGCCACACCCTCTGGGGAAGGGTCAGGAAGACAGACAGATAAGGGACTGCTGGCTTATGTTTAAACCTTTTACTCCTGACTTTGTCTTTCCCTAACTGTCTAATAAAAATAATTCATTTTGGCCGGGCGCGGTGGATCAAGCCTGTAATCCCAGTACTTTGGGAGGCCGAGGCGGGCGATTCACAAGGTCAAGAGATCGAGACCATCCTGGTCAACATGGTGAAACCCCGTCTCTACTAAAAATACAAAAAATGAGCTGGGCATGGTGGCGCGTGCCTGTAATCCCAGATACTCAGGAGGCTGAGGCAGGAGAATTGCCTGAACCCAGGAGGAGGAGGTTGCGGTGAGCTGAGATTGCGCCATTGCACTCCAGCCTGGGTAACAAGAGCGAAACTCCGTCTCAAACAAACAAACAAAAAATTCATTTTAAAACCTGTGTATAGGCCGGGCGCGGTGGCTTAAGTCTGTAATCCCAGCACTTTGGGAGGCCGAGGCGGGTGGATCACGTGGTCAAAAGATCGAGACCATCCTGGTCAACATGGTGAAACCCCGTCTCTACTAAAAATACAAAAAATTAGCTGGGCATGGTGGCACATGCCTGTAATCCCAGCTACTCAGGAGGCTGAGGCAGGAAAATTGCTTGAACCCAGGAGGCAGACGTTGCGGTGAGCAGAGATCGCGCCATTGCACTCCAGCCTGGGTAACAAGAGCAAAACTCCGTCTCAAAAAAAAAACCAAAAAAAAACCTGTGTATACCCAGTAGAATGGCTTTAATTTTAAAAATGAAAAACAACAAGTCTGGGTAAGGATGTGGAGATATCGGAACCCTTGTGCACCGCTGGTGGGGCTGCTGTCAAACACCGCCTGGCAGACCCTAAAAAAGCTAAATATAGAATTATCGCATTCTCTAGCGATTCCAGTCCTAGGTATACATCCCCAAGAATTAAACAGAGACAGGGGCTGGTCATGGTGGCTCACGCCTGTAATCCCAGCACTTTTGGAGGCCAAGCCTGGTGGATCACCTGGGGTTGGGAGCTTAAGACCAGCCTGGAAAAACCCTATCTCTACTAAAAATACAAAATTAGGTGGGCATGGTGGCACATGCCTGTAATCTGAGCTACTTGGGAGACAGGAGAATCACTTGAACCCAGGAGGCGAAGGCTGCAGTAAGCCGAGATTGCTCCATTGCACTCCAGCCTTGGCAACAAGAGCGAAACTGTCTCAAAAAACAAAAACAAACAAACAAAAAAACCGGGCTGGGTGCAGTAGATCACACCTGTAATCCCAGCACTTTGGGAGGCCAAGATGGGTGGATCATGAGATGAGGAGATCGAGACCATCCTGGTCATGGTGAAATCCTGTCTCTATTAAAAAAAACAAAACAAAACAAAACAAAACAAAAAACCAGAAACTTGGCCAGCAGGGTGGCTCATGCCCTTAATGCCAGAGGTTTGGGAAGCAAGGGCAGAGGATCTCTTGAAGCTTGCTCAAGGCAGCAGTGAGCTCTGATCACGCCACTGCTCTCTAGCCTGGGCAAGAGAGCCAGACTTCATCTCTTTTTTCTTTTTTTTTTTTTTTCGGAGATGGAGTTTCACTCTTGTTACCCAGGCTGGAGTGCAATGGCGCGATCTCGGCTCACCGCAACCTCCGCCTCCTGGGTTCAGGCAATTCTCCTGCCTCAGTCTCCTGAGTAGCTGGGATTACAGGCACGCGCCACCATGCCAAGCTAATTTTTTGTATTTTTAGTAGAGACAGGGTTTCACCATGTTGACCAGGATGGTCTCGATCTCTTGACCTCGTGATCCACCCACCTCAGCCTCCCAAAGTGCTGGGATTACAGGCTTGAGACGGATTACAGGCCTCTGCTCCGGCCCAGACTCCATCTCTTAAAAAACAAAAACAGCCGGGCGCGGTGGCTCAAGCCTGTAATCCCAGCACTTTGGGAGGCTGAGGCGGGTGGATCACAAGGTCGAGAGATCGAGACCATCCTGGTCAACATGGTGAAACCCCGTCTCTACTAAAAATACAAAAAAATTAGCTGGGCATGGTGGCACGTGCCTGTAATCCCAGCTACTCAGGAGGCTGAGGCAGGAGAATTGCCTGAGCCCAGGAGGCGGAGGTTGTGGTGAGCCGAGATCGCGCCATTGCACTCCAGCCTGGGTAACAAGAGCGAAACTCCGTCTCAAAACAAAACAAAACAAAACAAAACAAAACAAAAAAAACAAAAAAACCTGGCTAGGCGTGGTGACTCATGCCTGTAATTGCAGCACTTTCAGAGGCCAAGCAGCAGACTGCTTGAGCTCAGGAGTTCAAGACCAGCCTGGACAACATGGCGAGGCTCTGTCTCTACTAAAAATACCAAAAAAATTAACCAGGTATGGTGGTATTCATGTGTGGTCCCAGCTACCCCGGAGGCTGGGGTAGAAAGATCACTTGACTTTGGGAGGCACAGGTGGGTGGATCACCTGAGGTCAGGAATTCGAGACCAGCCTAGACAACACGGTGAAACCCCATCTCTACAAAAAATACAAAAATCAGCCAGGCATGCTGGCACTTGCCTGTAATCACAGCTACCTGGGAGGCTGAGGCAGGAGAATCACTTGAACTCAGGAGGTGGAAGCTGCAGTAAGCCGAGATTGTGCCACTGTACGCCAGCCTGGGTGACAAAGTGAGACTCTGCAGTAAGCCAAGATCGTGCCACTGCAAGCCAGCCTGGGTGACAAAGTGAGACTCTGTTTAAAAAAAAAAAAAAAAAAAAAAGATCACTTGAACCCAGGGGGAGCAGAGGCTACATGAGCTGAGATCACACCATGGTGCTCCTGCCTGGGTGACAGAGTGAGACCCTGTCTCAAAGAACAAACAAAAAGCCCACCACAGAAGATCAAAAGAAATTCTGACACGTTATAAAATTACGCTGAATTAAATAACTAGGACAGAAAGGTCACCTGTGGTGTGATTCCAATTCTCTGAAATGCCCAGAATTGGCAAATCCATGGAGGCAGAAACCAGATTCGTGGTGGCCAGGTGTTGTGGGATGATGAAAACAGTGGTGAAGGTTACAAAATGTTATGAATGTACCAAATGTCTAATGGCAAATTTTATATTATGTACACTTTACCACAATTTACAAAAATGTGTGCATTCTCCTAAGTGCTGAGGCTTAAGTTTTAACCTGTTAGAAGTCAGAAAAGGTGTGCTTATCAAAGGTAATAAGTTCGACCACGGAAAATCAAACAATGAGTCATGACCAAGAACCTCATTAAACCCAAGCAGCTGGCATGGGGGTGGGGAAGGCAGGGCATGGGTTGTCTAGAAAAGGTAACTATGGAAAAAGCCAGCAAAAGAACTTGCGAGTGTCTCACTGCCGAGGCCCGAGGGGCTGGAGCCAGGGCGTGAAGAAGAGGAGATGTCGTCTGTTCAGCAAATCTAGCCACCATGTCCCCAGCGAATGGATGTGTGAAGTGTTTAAAACATAGATTCCTTTGGCAAAGGAAAGAAAATGGAAAGAGAACCAGAATGCTACAATTCTGGATTTCTATCTTTAAGGCTTTAAACTTAAGAGCTTTAAAATTGCAGCCAAGAAATTCGAGCTGAGCCTCAGCTGTCCTCATTTGTCTGGAGCCAGAGCATCTAAGGGAACATGCAGGATGGCCGGGGGCAGCGGCTCACACCTGCAATCCCAGCACTCTGGGATGCAGAGGCAAGTGGATCACCTGAGGTCAGGAGTTCGAAACCGGCCTGACCA